ATAGGAAGCTAATAAGAGCACCCAGCTTATAGAGTTGTTATCAGAACTGAATGAGTTAATATATGCAAAGAGCTCAGAAGATTGGCTTTTACTCTCCAAATATTTGCTAATATTTTAATAATAATGGCAAAACACCCATCTGGTCCCTCCACTTCCAACCTTATCAACTTTCCAGTACATTCTTCCTACATTGCGACTGGGGCAATTTTTTTCTAAAATGCAAATGTCAACATGGTCCTCATACATTGACAGGACTCCCTACTGCTTTCAGAGAAAAAAATGCGGCTTCCTTGATCTCCCTCAGTTTACTTCTCTAATTCCATCTTTCATTGTTCTCCTGGCTTTGATTCTGATATTTAGGCTATGCATTTAGGTATATCCCACTCCCTGCCATGACTCCTGGCAAATATACATGTTCTTTGAGCTGTCTGGAGTATGCTCTGTTTTCTTTATTTTGAAGACTTAGCCGTTATCATCCCATTAGAGCCATCCTGCCTGTGTTTCAATCGCGGATCAACTTTTACCAGCTACGCGTAACCTTGGGCAAATTACTCAAGTTCTCTGTAGAATTTATAAAATAGGACTAGCCATAGTATTTATCTCATATTGTTATTGTTGGGACTAAGTTAATACACATAAAGCTTCAATAATGCCTGAATTATAGTAAGCATTCAGCAAAATCCTTAAGAAAACTGCAGATGCTATATTTTGCCTTCATCCTGCCCCTGCCATGATTTTAATATTTCTCTTGTGTATTTCACTAGTGCCCTGGCACCTTAGCCTCATGTGTAGCAAAATATGAAATACGAAATATAATTGTGTGTTTATCTGTCTCTCTACCCACCAAACTCTAGTTTCCTTGAAGCTACAGACTGAATTACATCTTTTCTCTCTTCCCAGTGGCCTGAACCCCATCTGCTGTATTACCAGAACTCAACAAATATTTGTTAAATAAAGATGAATGAACATTCTTATCCCCCAGAAGAGAATGTGAAACAGAACAGTTGTTATACATTTTGGAATGAATGGATAAATTTATTAATCATACCTTGGTATAGCAGGAGTATGCTCTAAGGTGATTTAGACAGTAAGAAAACCAGCCTGTGGTAGAGAGTGGAGGCTAAATATTATTTTCTTTCTTCCTTTTTTAAATTCTTGGTTACTAATTAAGTTCTTGATCACATAATACAATGTTTGCCTCATGTGTGCTCAATGTATGTGGCGACGGCTTAATCGCCTCTGAACATAAAGATGACTGGTGAAGGTTTGATGGTTACAGTACCGGATTACCCTGCTCAGAAGAATTCCAAGCCTTGTATCCATGCCATTATCAATGTAAACTATTTAATTCCAGCAATAACTGTGAGTTGCCAAAAACATGAAGCAATAAGCTAAGTTTTGATGCTATGATAACACTGAGGGCAATATTTTTTTAGTGGGTAATGTTTCTAAGAATAAGTGTGGCCAAATGTTTGCAGACAAGGGTTAGACAAAAATAAATGTGTTACCCAGAAGCTTTACAAAATGGATGCAATTCTGTTTGAAATGATTATTTGCCTAAAACACTACTATTGCCTATTTGGAACAAGAAGAGGACGGGTTGGTGAATTATTTCAGAAAGTGTGTTTGTTAAAAATTGTACTTAGCTTAAATGTATCTTATTTTAGTAGGAAAAGTTCTGTGAAACTAAACAAAAATAATCCCTACATGCAAAGATGGATTTACAATTCCTGGGCCAAGCACATCTTAGGGAAAGGATAAATTTCCAGCCAACACTTCTTGAGAATGCTTTTATCATGTAACTTTAGTGAGTTATAAATACTTTAGAAGGCATAAAAGTAAATAGACTATAATTTTTTCAGCATTTACTATGGATAGGCACTGATGCTATCTATATGTTTTATAAAAAGTTCTTTTAATTTACTATAATCTCATCAGGTATGTATTATGATCCCATTTTGGATATGAAAACTGAGGCTAAAAGAAACTGCTTGGATGACTGTCAACAGTTAAACACTGTTGAGCATTGTATTCAGACATTTTCCATGAAAGAAGTTTGCTTATAGATAGCACTTAATAAATTTGTGTTTAATTTAACCTTGTCACTTGGAGGAGAAAGAAGGAACTAAAGTTTAATGAGTCACCTATGTCATGTGTTGTTTGCTTTTATAGGCAGTACCTAATTTAATCCTTTCCCTATCACTGAGAAGTAGACATAATTATACTGACTTTATAAAATGATGAAACATCTTCATAAAGGTTAAATTAGTTGCTGGCAACACAGAAAACTCACTAAAAAATTTCTTCTCTTGCTTTGTAGTGTTACATTCAGGCTGTCTCCATAAGTGATTGGGTCAAGTTGCAAATGGAGGACCTTTAAAGTCAATTAAACATTTTGGCTTTTGTATTATAACATAGCTCATGAAGATTTTGGAAAATCTTTTAGATTACTCTTTGAGTTCTTAAGATACACATTTTTAAAAATCGATGCATAAAAATCAATTGTGGTATATTGATTTTAGGCATATTTGCATATATTTAAATGTAAAAGTATAACATTTGCATAAAATCCCTTGATAAATAATAAATACATTTGGTAAATGAGTTGTTGGTCACAAAAGTAGGAAAGGTTTTACTTACATGTTTTAGAATTAGGATGAAATAAAAGTTCATTTTAGTGACTGATTTTAATCCAGTATTATGGTATGAGTTATTTAAAATTTCAAATTCACCATAATAAAGACTATGACACCAGTGAAAATGAAGATATGCAGAGAATTAAAATCTTGATAGAAACCTTATTAAGAGGCATTTTCCATTTTTGTGTCTTTTATGAGTCCTTAATAATAAAATATTTGGTCAGAATATTAACTATAGAATTAAAGAAAACAACAATTAACAAGAAGCAAATAAAACCTATGGTTATGAGAGCACAGAACCCACTGGAAAACAGGATAATAGATTTACATGATGATCACAAGTCCTGCAATTAAATCAGAATTTATTTTAGGATTGTATCATTAAAAAGAAAATAAATGTCAAGAGGCCTGAAGTATTAGACAATTTGTCTCTCCTATTTTTGTTTGTTTTGGATATGCTACATCACAAAAGAGACACAGCTACTTTTCACACACCCTGAGACGCTACACGGGTAGCATCTAACAGTATCATAATTATTCAGTAAATGTTTCTTGAACAGATGTTTGGTTGCCTGCTGTTGCCCCCAAACTCCAAACCTAGTCAGGAATTTTACTTTTGCAATCACTTCCACCCCTGCCTCTAAAAGTTTAAAGACATATTTATTGGACAAATACTCAGAAAAGAAGTGAAATTATGATAAGTAGGCAGACATATGAGCTCTGTGAGAATCACTAGGGCTTGATATTTCTAACAACATGAAAAAAAAAAAAAGAAAAAGAAAGAAAAAAAGAAAGAAATACTCAACTCCATGTGCTTTAAGTCTCAGGATGATAAGAAAAATATGTTTTCAATGTTCCCCCTAATGTATTAAGTTCAATATGAGAATAGATATGTCTCATATTAATACTTAATTTCTAAATACTCATGAGCTCCATTAAAATTCTCTGGCAAAATCATACCAAGCTTTCCTTCCAGTGGACTCTAACCGAAGGTTTTGGCAGGCGCTGACTGATTAGCAGGTTTTTTCCTTCCCAATCACATTTCTTAGCACATCCAAATGGAGCTCTGGGAACTTACTGTTTAAAAAATATTCTTTACAAAGTATATTAAGGACTTGTTTAGACTATCTAAAGGAGATAAAACTCAAGGTAATGGAGTGTAATAGAAAAATGTGAAATGTCTTTAAAACAAGATCACTTCATATGGAATTATCATCTATATTCATATCTATACATGAAAGTATGGAATTGAGCTAATTTTTCATATAGCTCAAGTCCACTATTAAAGAACCCTCTGTGGTATGTATATTGCATATGCACATGGAACCACCGCATGAATGGTCACATAAGCCACAGCTTAGTGACAACCATAACTTTCAGATGTAATTGGTGTTTTCTTTCACTCATCACTATTTACGATTCATCGCATCTTCACTCAGAGAAAGGCTGATTAGCGAGCAGAACTACAGAAGATGACTTTAAGCTCCAAACTTTGAAGAGCTCTCCTGAGACTAGGGAAAGGATCTGTTTGAAGTGGACAAGCGTTCACAGAGACACTCATTCAATAATTATTGGGTGGGGATGGGCAGATGGATAGATATCTTCTAAAGAGACATAGGCCTACAATATTTTCAATGGTTAAGTGGCTCCAGATATTCTAGTCATATTAAAAATTTGTATTTCCAACACCTGAAACTAATATAACACTGTATGTTAACTGTACCAGGATTTAAAATATATATATATTTCCACTGTCACAAAGACAGCCCAGAATAAATATGCTTGATGCCCTGGTTAGGGCTTCTCTACACAGGACTAAACATAAGTGATCTTAATAAAGACTTTTAATAACAAAGATTCTTTCTCCTTCATAATAGTTATTGGGAGCTTCTATATCTCCCAATAAGCAACTCTTCCTTCTCCCCCCTCTACAAAAGAAATAATTAATACTAGTTTTAAAATGGGAATCTTCCTGAAACTCTCCCAGGACTCTGAATTAATCTTTAACATTGGCTAATTTCTGTCTTCTGTATTTAAGTGTCTAGCACCATAACATCAAATGTTTATCCAGGACAGTATTGCAGGTTTTATCTAAGGCTAAAAAGAGCAAGCAAGAGAGAAGAAACTAGAAAGTTCTTTTAGAATGATACTGCAAATTCACAAATTCAAGCTTATGAGTACATTCTCTGATGTTAAAAACATGAGAAAATTGTGAGTACAAACTTCATGCAATGCTTCTAAGAATAGAGTTATTTTGCTGCTTTTATACAGCAATCAATACAATATAGAAGGTTGTACTGAATATTTACTTGCTCCATGTTAAATAAAATATCTACTATACCAAATTGAAGAAATTCTTACCACCTTCTTTAGTGCAAAGGTTGATGAGGTTATGCACTGTGTCCATCAGCTCCAGCTGCTGCTTCTGAAGGACACTATTATTGGTGGTGGCTCTGTTCAATTGTTTCTCCAGTTCCTGGATTATATACGTTTGACGAGTAACCAAGACTTGAAGATTCTCTCTCTCTTCTTTTAAGGTGTCCAACTCTTCCTTGTGCTTTCCCTCCATTTCTAAGATTTTATGTTCTAATAAACTGCAAGGAAATAAAGACAAAATTATTTTAAAAATGCTATACAAAAATATATGACTCAACTAGATCCTGAGTTTATTTAAAGTTAGAAATTTTAGTTAGGTATGTCACTATGGAAATATTTTGTAAGTGACAGTCTCAGAATATACACAGATGAATGGATAAAGAAGATGTGGTGTATATATATACAATGGAATATTATGCAGCCATCAAAAGGAATGAGATCTTGCCATTTGCAATGACGTGGATGGAATTGGAGGGTATTATGCTGAGCAAAATAAGTCAATCAGAGAAAGACATGTATCATATGATCTCACTGATATGAGGAATTCTTAATCTCAGGAAACAAACTGAGGGTTGCTGGAGTGGTGGGGGGTGGGAGGGATGGGGTGGCTGGGTGATAGACACTGGGGAGGGTATGTGCTATGGTGAGCGCTGTGAATTGTGTAAGACTGTTGAATCACAGACATGTACCTCTGAAACAAATAATACATTATATGTTAAAAAAAAGAAGAAGATAGTAGGAAGGGTAAAATGAAGGGGGGGCATCAGAGGGGGAGACAAACCATGAGAGACTATGGACTCTGAGAAACAAACTGAGGGTTCTAGAGGGGAGGGGGCTGGGGGATGGGTTAGCCTGGTGATGGGTATTAAAGAGGGCATGTATTGAATGGAGCACTGGGTGTTATACGCAAACAATGAATCATGGAACGCTACACCAAAAACTAATGATGTAATGTATGGTGATTAACATAACATAATAAAATTTTTTTAAAATATATACACATATAACATTCTAATATACATGTTGTTTATATAAATATTTAATACACATTAATTATAGGAGTTACATATATAACATATCAAATAAAGAATTATTAGACCATTTGTTGTCAGAGCAATATTTATTTCCTAAATATAATTTATTTCCTGGGGTACATCTCATATCCAAGGTAGCTGACTTGGACCCAAAGAATTTTAGTCTGTAAAAGTTATAGTATAACTTTCATTAAGGAAATAGGTCCAAGAAGAAGCTGATAGAATAGTCCAGGAAAAATACAAACAAAATATAGAAACTATTTTTTTAATTTATGTTGCATTCATTTGGGATTCTCAAAACATTAACAGTGATTAAATTTCACAATAGTTCTGTGGGGTCAGTTAATAGTATATTGATGCAGAACCCACAGGACCAGAAAGTAAGCTATGCAAAATCTCAGTGAATTAGATTTCTTGGGATTTCTGATGGTTGGTCCTGTATCATAACCACAGCTTACTTTGTCTCTCAACCTAAGTTTCAGAATGAGGCCTAAAAGCACCACCAGTTCCCAAATCACTGCACAGATGGTTCTGCACAGGAAGACCACAGACTGGTGGTGTGGTCTTACACAAAGACATGGGATTTCGCTCAGGGTGATGTAATCTTCAACTGAGAACCTTCCTTCTCTCAGAACTCTTCAGAAGATACTCCCTCTGCATATTGCACATTAAAAATGACAGGGAATGCAGAAGCACTCTTGGATCCTAGCAACTGACTGTAAATAAAAAGTATTTGTATTTTATAGGGTGTATAATATACTAAGATTCCTCAGAGGAAAGCCTGATTCAGTTTCCTCAGTTCCATTTTCAGAAGGTTCAACCAGTCCTTAGTTTACAAGGTGTTATTCAAATGTAACATACCAGACTGGGCACTTAATTTACCTTGGAGAAATATAGCACTGAATCACTCCTATAAGTTTGCAAAAAGGGGACTCCCGGGAATTTTTTAAATTTAATACTTAAATCATAAAATAGAGCATGTTAGAAGAGCCAAATTTTCCTACTTGATGTACTAGGGGACGAGCTAGAATATCTGATTGTTCTTTACACAGATTAAGAAGTGTGGAGAGAATTGCTCATGAGCATTCTGGATCTTTGCCAACCAACCTGTCTCAAGAAAATGTGGCTCAGAATATGGCAGGAAAGTTGCCTGTTGAACCACGCCTGAAAAACACTGGGATGCTTCTATTCATGTTACCTTACTAATTTACAACACCTTGGGTAGCATGTCTAGATTCACATATGAAAATTTCCACTGAGACCTGTCAGGGGCACCTCTGTGACTTGTGCAAGATAAGAGAAGCCACACCTCTATTTTGGGTTGCTCTCATTCCATGGGACACCAGTAGTGAAAGAAGCCCTACCCTGATTGTTAAGCAAACTCAATTTGGATAGAACCTGGGTATAGTGATTAGGGAAATTTGTGATGGCCATCTGTATTTTGAAGACATCTTTTGGAAATGAAAACCTTAGGCAAGGAAGTCAGGTAAGATAAAAGAAACATCTGTAAAGAGTAGTTACGATTCACAGTCTTTTAGTGTTTTCTTCTGTGTCAATAATTTGCTGCTGAAGTTAGAGGTTAAAAAATAAACTAAATAAAACAAACAAACAAAAAACCCTTCTCTATTGGTTAAAAAGTTTATCCAACCACTGGTTAAGTGATTAGTGCACCTGCTATGGAGTCAAAGCACGTTGTCTCTGTGTCTCGTAATCTTTGGCCTTCAGATCTGAGAATTAACCACAACTGATGCCTTAGCTCATTCTCAGTTTACTTTTTAATTTTTTGTTTTCCTCCTAAGGATCAGATGCAAGATGCCCATAATGTAAAGTCAGTTAACTTACAAAAAAATTGTCTTTTAAAGTCGCAAGAGTTACAGTATACTACCAAGAAACCTTAGAATTAGCTGTTAAAATGATAATAATAATGTAAAGATCAAAATTTGGATGATACAGTCATATAATACTGAATAAAAATCTGAATTACCATTTTGTTCCTACAAAAAGATGAGCATTGGCCTTTCAGTTTTCCTAATCAGTAGGTAACATTCTGGCTTAGAAAATATCATGCTATAGCTATAACTTGTATTTATTACTTGCTAAGTGCCAATAGTGTTCTCAGTACTATGTAAAATAGAAAATGATACCATTCCTACTCTAAGGATTTATTTTTAGAGAGAATACCTCAAATAAAACAATAGCAGCTGTAACAAACTTTTGTTTCAGATACAGTGCTGTTTAAAAATTTTTTTTTAAATCAATGTTTCTCCACTTCTTTTGATACACTCCCTATCCAAGAGAGTATATACTTAAAGATGGCTACTACCTGAGATGTCAATAAAGGAATTTTGCTTGTTTGTTTGTTTTGGTTTTCAGGATAATTTGGAAAGAGCTGAGAATTTAAAGTTGATCAAAGTATTCCCTGATGTCAAAGAAAACAACTTGGCACTGGCTTATGGAAGAAAAGGCCTGCATTTCCTGAGTAAAAGGAATATGCACTTAACATGATGAAAAGAACATTAATTTTCATAGTTCACTGAACAACCTTTAATGCACGTGACTACCACGTATCAAAAGAAATCCAGATAGCCTGTCATCTTAAAATAGACATTTATGCAAAGTAAAGAAGGGACTGCCCACAGAAGTAAGAACCATGCTCTGCATCACAGACACCTCACAGGGTTTGGAATAAAATATATTCAAGAAAAAATAATATGCACAAAAACTATCGGCAAAATGGAAACATATCACACCGTTTCCCAAATGGCAAGTCTTGCCAGTTAACTATCTCTTCCAGTCATTTTCTCATCTCATTTCTTCACTTGGAGTTCCTTTAATAACTTTTATATTATAGTAATTATCTATTAAATTTATTAGGTATATCCGTTATATTAATCATAACTTTTTAGACTTTTTTGGGCAGGACTGATCTCTTCTCGGCCCTTCCATTTTCTTCAACACTGCTCATCCCTTACTTCGATCTTCTCTTCATATTTGGTTTAAAAAAAAAACAAAACAAAAACTATTCTCTTTCCTTAGATACTTCTCATCCATTGGTTATTATCTACTTGGGAAGTCAGCCCTTCTCATTACTCCAAACTGGTTTGAATCCAAAACTTTCTTGCCAGAAAAAATTCACATGCTATCTCTATTAATCACATTGTTGTAATATACCATTATAATTGTGTAGTCCTTTAAAGCCCTTATCTCCTTTCTTTCTTAAAGCAATATAGAGATACAGACTGGGTAGATATCACAAGCCCCAGTTAATAAGAATCTAAGTATCTTGTCCAAAAATCATGCACTAATTGTGTCAGAACCAAGATAAAAAGTCATGTCTTCTAACTTGTCAGACTAGAAATGTGCCCATGACATCCCAGTGCTATGAAAACTAGCATGAGAGTCTCTCTTTGATTTAATATCTTCTACTTATTTCTTCTACCCATTTATATATTGTTAGGAAGCAAGGAATCACTTTAACATCTCCTTAGTAATTGTCACTCTCCATCTGGTTATTCTGGGAGCTTGTCTTTCACAATATTTTAGCCTATTGACCTTTTACATTATAAAAACAGTTTCTTTGTCAAGCCAGTTTTTTTTTTATCTGAATTAAGATTTTCTTAAGCACCACTCTGCCTTAACCCCTCTGTCATTAAATGTAATTTTATCCCATTTTTTCCTGGAGTCTTTTATTGGTTCTCTTCCATTTTCCCTATCCAGATCAGTTGGGAGAGGCTACCTCAGCTAGATACAGAGAACTACAAGTAAAGGTTGATCTGAAGGATAACATTACAGCTCCAGCATCCTAAAATTAGATAGGCAACATAGTTATATTTTCCCTGATGTTGTCCTGCAGCAATAAGTTTAGCTTAGACTTAAATGCATAATCCAAAATGTGGATGCCGATTCCAAACTCCAGTGCACTGTTTTCTAGAGTGCATTCTGTATATTTTTATCAGGTGTATGAGTCCCACTCTCAAGTCTTTGGGAAGTTTAGATTAAAGAAACAGTTTTTATCATGATGCATCTTTTAGGATTCGTGTACCATGGAACAACAATTTACGAAACTGTGTACCTCAATCTATACAAATGGAGTTAGAAATCTGAAGACAGTATTTCTCACAGGATTCTGAATACTTCCTGTTTCCCATCTTTCTGGAAGCACTCTGAGAAGAGACATGCATAAA